GGAATAGGAAGCATACAGGAATTTTCTGTGCTTTCCACTCAATTTTGCCATGATTCTAAAACCTGTATAAAAAAATAAAGCTTTGAGGACACTTAGAAGATAAGTGTCAAGGCATATACCTTACCGACAAGCTACTGAGAGTATCTCGCCCACATGGCAAAGCCTGGCAAGCTACCTGTGACATATTCCATATGCCAAACACAGTAACAATTGTCACAATGGAGACGTTACTGGCCCGCTCGAGCAAATCGATGAACAACGAGAGGACAGTGACAGTGAGAGTGTGAAACTCTGAATTTTGTCCCCTACACAGGGTCTCCTGAGTTTCAGCACATGTAGCCCTGCTGCCCTGCAGACTACTGGCACCAAGTGCTAGCCCCATGCCATCACTGCATCCAGAGCCACCAGAAGTGTCTCTAGCCTCATTCAGAAAATTTTTGTAGTAATACCGTATGACTGAAACCCTATCATGAACAGCTTTGTAATGGTCTATCTCACAGTGATTCAATAAATAAATAATATCTTTTTTAAAAGACAAGTTTCATAGTAAATAGTGGAAGAGGTAATGAACCTTGATTATCAAATTGTTTAAAATGAATCAGAAATTGGATTTGACTTGTTTGTTTGGCTTCTGGGTTACACCTGGCAGTGCTCAGGGCTTCCTGCGTATGCTTGGCAAGCACCTTCCCCGCTGTGTGCTCTCTCCTGTTATCTTACAGATTTCAGCATCCCTACTGGTGAAACCAACCCTATTGTTAAGTACGAACAGATCCCTATCAAACAGATCCCTATAAAGAACATCCCATTCCCTCCATATGATAAGAAAACTGAAGGTTCAAGGTAACAAGGTAAGACTTCATTGGCTGCATCTGCAGAGAGAGCAAGATAGGGGAGAGCTTGTGCAATCCTGGCCTTTAAGAGACACCTGATGTTGAGGTGGGGTCCATTTGCTCCTGAAAGACACTTGCACAGGAACAGGGCCGGAAGAGACCTTTGCTAGGTACGTACCTGCTGTTCAGAACTCTGAGCATGACGATGCGCTTCCCAAGGAGGGGCAGAAGGCTTATTCTACTGGGACTATTATCCTGTGCCTCTTTATTCTCTTTTTCTCCTTTTGCTCTTTTTTACTTTTGCTGGCTTGTTCGGATGAGGGAAAGATGCAGTAAAAATATAAGAAAGAAAGACAGGCTCGGGGAAGAATGCAGTGCCTCCAGGTTGCTTCTCTTGCACTAGGAGAGGAAAATCAATGCAGACTTTTTTTTTGACTGAAATCCTAATTTTATTTTATTTATTTTTTTTATAATTTATTTATTTATTGAATCGCTGTGGGAAAAGTTACAAAGCTTTCAGGTTTAGGTCTCGGTGATGCAAATATCAATCACATTTCCCTTTACCAATACTTATTTATCACCACGAAGAACCCCAATAAACCCCCTCACCCCCTCCAATGCCTGTGAGGCAGATGAATTCTAATTAATACTCTATCTACTTTGACTAGCTTCATTGTTTCGATAAAAGTTGCACCGTTATTATTTAGAGTTTTTTTTTTTTACTTACGCCCCCCCACACCAAATCAGACATGCTGAAAAAGCATTGTGAAATGATTTGCTTTCTACAGCTGGGTTCAAGAATTAAATAATGTCGGGTTTGGATTTCTGCTATTTTACTTATTAACCCTGGAAGTATTTCTACTGAGAGTCAGATAATTAAGAGATTGGTTTCTGTGCTCTGGAGCCGTGGCCGTGCCGGAGAGCCGCTCGTGAGGGGCAACTGGTGACCTAGGTAGGGCGTGAAGGACAGGCCAGAATGCCCCCCTTCCCATGAGGTTCAGACTTTTAAAGCAGTAAAACATTTCCTAAATTTGGGTAATAGATATCTTATGCTTTTTTTTTTTTTTTAAAAAAAAGGACACATCTCTGTCTGTATGAAGTATCTCTTTTTCCTTTTCCTTTTGCCCCAGCCAGCAGTGCTCAGGGGTTACTCCTGGCTCTGCACTCAGGGATCACTCCGGGTGGGGCTCCAGGGACCATATGGGATGCTTGAGATTAAACGGGGTCTGCTGCATGCAAGGTGGACAGGCAGTTATACTATCACTCCAGGCTTATCAAATGTCTCTGTGCAAGTGATAAGCATTAGTGCATTCTGCAATTTGCAAAATGCTTTGCTATGTTTGACATGTGGGTATTTTTAACTTTCCTGAGAGTCAAACAAGCCATTCTCACAATGAATTCTTTCTGGTCAAAGATAATGATCAGTGCTTGAAAAATGAAAGGAGGTCTTTGTGAATCAGAGGACAGTTTATTGAAAGCCAATGAGTGAACATTTATGTGTAGCTCAAATGTGTCTGCTAGCAGGTAGGGCATTTACCTTGCATGCAGCCAACCTGGCCGACCCAAGTTAGATTCCTCTGCCCCTCTTGGAGTGCCCGGCAAGCTACCAAGAATACCTTGCCCCACGGCAAACCCTGGCAAGCTCCCTGTGGCGTATCCAGTATGCCAAACACAGTAACAAGTCTCACAATGGAGCCATTCCTGGGCCCACTCGAGCAAATTGATGAACAACGGGAGGACAGTGCTACACTGCTACACCGTTGCTTACAAACTAGGTGCTTCTCAGGAAGTTCTACCCTTACATCAGTCTCCGCCTTAGCCCACGGAGCTGTTTTCAGGTTTGCATAAATAAGGAAAGGAAAGCACTACTCTAATTTGATCCCTGATCAATATTAGTTCATCGGGATGTGTAGTGCTTTCCCTTTTGCCTACCTCATTGCTCATTGCCAGGACTTCCCAAGGAAAAGTGGTCTTTGTGGGATTTGCAGGCACCTGCGTCCTCTGCTCCAGAACAGAAGAACCCTCTGATGGGCTGGAGAACTTCGTTCATGTAGATGATGAATGATTTGAAAAACATCAAAATTCTGATTCTCAGAATAGCCCAAAGTGCAATAATATGTCACTGAAATGTCATCATTTTTATTGAAACTGACTGTGTTTCAAGATAAAACAAATCATTTGTCCTGAGAGTAAACGTTTCTCTACAGAAAAGTATAAGGAAAGTCACAACCTTATGTTTGCCCTGATAAAAATCATATAATCTAGAATATCTGCTCCATCACTTCCATTGGCATTTAGTATATTCTTAAAATGTGGTTTTCCCTTATTGTACTTACTAGAGTTTAGATACCATTGTAGAATTCTAAATAAGGGAAATATTTTCTTCCATACTTAAGCTTTCATGAGAAATATTAGTGATTTTACTTTATATTCATAATTTAGAGAATATGAATTCTGAGTGTTGTGATTAACTCTATTCAAAGTTGGTTAAATAGAAATATTCAAATTTGAAAATTATTACATAAGGGGGAAATACATTAAAACATAGAAGGGAACTTCTGTATTTTTATTCTATAAATATATAAAGACCACATGGACTGATTTATAGAATTGTCAGAATTTTCTAAAGACATAGAAGTAAACTATGTATTCTGATTGATCTTTCTAGATGATTAGATTATTTTATTATATCATGTATTCTGTACATACCAAAAATATTATCCAATAGACATGCTGGTTAAATGTCAATCGTATAATTTTTTCATATTAAAAATCCATTGTACTCTTTCCCTATGCTGATGTGCAGTAACATAAATAACTTTTCTTAGCAAATAAAAATTAATGAGGAAAAAGAATGTGGTTTTCCTTTATAATTGCATTATGCCATATATTTTGAGGAGTATATTAGAATTCATAATGTCTATTTAAACTTAAAGAAGATAATGATTTTTAATAGCTTTTTCACCTCCTGATTACAAATTGAAAATCTATGCAAACTCTAAGGGAAATGAAAGTCCCTGAGATATTCTCAGAATATTACCTTTAGGAATATAATCAATGATCTCAATAACTTTTAACGAACTCAGATAAGTGGTAAGATCTATAATGCCTTACCTCCTTGTTCTTTCATCACATCATCCTTCTAGATAAAGCTCAGATGAAATCCTGTCTATTTTATTCATATCCCTATTGAAACAGAAAGAGAATGGGTTAAACAAATAATACAAAGTTTGGGTTTACTAACCACATAATTAATATGGGCACGTCAAGAAACAAAGATCTAATTTATATGTTTAACCAGGATTCCAGAATTCTGCCCAACCTCTTTGTTGCCTGTAAGAGTTTGTTGCTAACAAGAAATGTTTTCATAATCATTTTATATCTAATAATTCAATAAATGCATCCATTTTGCCAAAATTAATGCTTTGGAAAATCTTAAAGATAAATTCCCTCAATTGCACATGGCCGACCTGGGTTTCATCCCCAGCATCCCATATGGTCCCCTGAGCACCACCAGGAGTGGTTCCTGAGTGCAAAGCCAGAAGGAACCCCTATACATCGCTGGGTGTGACCCAAAAAGCCAAAAAGCAAAAAATAAATAAATAATAAAAATAAAACTGTAGCACTGTAGCACCGTCCTCCCATTGTTCATCAATTTGCTCAAGCAGGACCAGTAACATCTCCATTGTGAGACTTATTGTTACTGTGTTTAGCATACTGAATACGTCATAGGTAGCTTGCCCGACTTTGCTGTGCGGGTGAGATACTCTCGGTAGCTTGCCAGGCTCTCGGAGAGGGGCAGAGGAGTTGAAACCAGGTCTACCAGGCCAGCTGTATGCAAGGCAAATGCCCTACCCGCTGTGCTATCGCTCTGGCCAGGGCCCTCAAGGAGTCAGAGTGATAGTACAGGGGTAGGGTGTTAGTCTTGCATGTGGCAGACCCAGGTTCTATCTCCAGCACCTAATATGATCTCGAAGCTTGCCAGAGGTAATTTCTGAGCACAGAGCCAGGAGTAACCCCTGAGCATCACTGGGTGTGACCCAAAAGCCTAAAATAAAATGAAATAAATTCCCTAAAATGTTTTCTATATAATGCAATTATTGTGATGATGTAATAGGTTTTCAATGACTTCTTTCCTTCTTAGGACAGTCCTTTCTTCACGGAACCAACATGAATGCTCTCGTGGATACCATTACATTTTTGATGAAATTTCTATATTATGGTTTAGATTCTCTAGTTCACACTGTAATTCCCAGGAGCAAAAAGGATGTGACTGGAGAGATTGTACTTATAACAGGTGCTGGAAGTGGACTTGGGAGATCAATGGCCATAAAATTTGCCAGACTTGGAGCCATTTTAGTTTTATGGGATATTAATGAAGAAGGTAATATGGAAACATGTAGAATGATCAAAGCAGCCGGTGCTTCAAAAGTATTTGTGTATAAATGTGACTGCAGTAACAGACAAGAGGTCTACCAAGTGGCTGATCAGGTAAACTGACCAATGTGCTTCTCTGAATTTCTATGCTCAAGAAAAATACTGTGTATAGTATGTACTTCTACCAGCAGAGGAGAAGAAAATATGATAAACGATCCCCAAGATTTCTATTGTCTCTTGTTGCATTTTACATTTCAGAAATATGACTTCATAACTTTTGAAAAGGAGCAAAAAGTGCAATGGTAGTTTGATAATGCTCTGAGCTGTTGACCAACAACTTTTCTTGGTGACTCATTTGCTGTCAAGAGTCAGTAGAAACCAAGTCTAGTCCTGCCTCTGTGGCTCATTGGTTGTGCAATTTTCAGCAAGTGATCTCTTAATCTCTTAATCCCTCTTCTTCATAACATAAACAAGTTAATATTTAAGATCACATCCAGATATAATTTAACTGCAATTTTTATTATTCTAATCCACATCTATTATTTTCATGTATTGGGGATAAGAATAAGATACAATATCTAATTTATAATATCTATAAAATCTAATCTGTAATATCTAACTGCGATTCGGGTTAGCACCTTAGACCTCCTTTCAGTGCAATCGCTTGCAGAAAATGAGACAGACTAACTATCTATGCTTTAGGCCCCCCTGGGTAGCTGTCATATCACCGCCCACCCCCACAAGGCTCCCAGTAGGTAAATCATTGTGCAAGTTGACAGAGACATGAAGACAGTAACTGCACCAACATTCAATAGGTACATGAAAAGCAGACATAGAGTATTTCACAGACCCGATTAGCAAGCATCAAAAAGGTGCTAAAATGTTTATACTATTCTTTCCTGAGCATATTTTTGCTTGCTCTCTTATCCATTTTATTTTTTCCTGGGAGCACATTTGTAAACTCTTTGTATTCTAAGACCTGAACAATTTTACCTAGGGGAATAATTCAACCTTGGGTTTTTTTAGTTAGGACAGTTTCCCACAACATAGCACAAAAGCAATTAGCAGATTCCTAGACTAAATTTCCACAAATCTAGTATGTTGATATGTATGTATTTTATCCTCAGAACAAATATTAATATATATATATCTCATTAAGGGGTGTGTGTGTGTTCTTTTATGTACATACACACACACCCCCTTAATGATAATCTCCAACATTTATTGTATAGAATGTGTATGAGTGGTGTAAGTGCGCAGATAGTATGCACACCATGTACTTTAACAACAATGACAAATATTTATGTGGTTCTTTCGTTGTATTATTATCTGGGGTGTGATGCAGCCTAAGCATATCAAACTATTTTTGTTAGAATAACCAGGTTCAATATCTAGTTATTACTATTTATGTCTGCATGCAAGCACATACATTAGACTTGTTATAGCAAAAACTATTTTGGCTAAGAACTTTTGGATGTGAATTCAAATTGAATGTGTATCATTGTTATTCTTCTCAAAAGCTGTGGGTCTTTTGGTAAAATCTCAATTTCTCATAATTGCCATTTTCCCACACATGAGCAGGGATTACTTTGTTCTTCTGAACTCTCATAGTTGTAGTAAGAATTTAATCTCATTGCCTAAAGTTCCACTTGACACAGATATACCCAAAGCCAAGATCTTAGGCAGAAAGAGAGCTCTCTTAAATATCTGCACAAAGCTCACCAAAGAGCCCATCTTCCCAGGCTCAGGGTCCACCCCATACCAAACTAGTCTAGAGAGAGTTCCTGCCCACAATGATTCCTTTATCAAAATCAGTGGAATGTTCTTTTATAAAACCTAGCCTTTCCAATTTTTTTCCCTCTGTCTCAACCTCTCTCCTACATAAAGACCAATCCCTCAGCCCCATGTCAGCTCAGAATTTATCAAGACTGATTTTCACTGCTTGCTCAACTCAACTCACCCACTAATTTTTTGCAATGCTTGTGCCAGTGACATAAGTAGACCAGAGTTAGGACATTGAGTTAAAAGGTAGTGCTTCCTGTTAGGAAACAAACAAACAAAAACAGATTGTTGTATCAGCACACAAAGAAATTCTTATCAAGCTCCCCCTCCCACCCCCCCAAAGAAAAGGCTTCCATTCATTTGTGTAAATATGCATCATACTGTTCATCAAAATCAAGGATTTTATCTATTGGTGTCACCTACGAAGCTGTAGTTGGAGGTATACTTGTAAACTGAAAAAACAATCCTCGGAGTATTTCCTGAAACACACTTTCCTCTGACAGGGCTGGTGGTAGGTCATGGATTGTGTGGACAGGCACTTCAGAAGAACTGAGGAACTAAAGAAGCTTCTCAAGGAAGCAAACCACTGTTTGACTGTGATTGGCTATAGGAGATCTCGATTCAGGATGTCTTCATGCAAAGCACTGGCTGGGTTTAGAAGAATGTGAAGTGTCCCTGCCCCTCAGCTTGAAGAAAGACCCCTACAGAAATCATTGTCATACATACTAGGGCCAAGGGGAACGTTAACTGCCATTTAAGGACAGACCTTGGCCGGCAAGCAGGGAAGCAGGTAGACAGAACCAGGTACCACACGTGGAACTTACCTGGGATTCACAACCAGCCACACTAAAGAGTATTTGCAAAACAGAAATAGGAGGTAGAGAAAATATGTTTCAATATTAGGTTATCTACACACACACACACACACACACACACACAATCACGGTTTTCAAGTAAAACTGGTCAATCAAAATTTATTTAATACAGTTGATCTTAAAGCAAAAAAATTTGCTGAAATTCTTTATGTGAGATGAAAATTCAATATTTGATTTTAAAAAGAAACTCCATGAAGAATTTTTTTAAAAAGATGAAACTAGGGGCTGGAGCGATAGAACAGGGGGCAGGGCGTTTGCCTTGCACACAGCCGACCTAGGTTTGATTCCCAGCATCCCATATGGTCCCCCGAGCACCGCCAGGAGTAATTCCTGAGTGTAGAGCCAGGAGTGACCCCTATGCATTGCTGGGTATGACCCAAGAAGCAAAAAAAAAAAAAGATGAAACTAAATAAATTGTATATTTTATTTAGGTGAAAGAAATATCAAAGTGAGCCAACTTGCTTGCACTAATATTTGACCTTATTTACTTATCCTCTTTCTGGTAACCATTAATTGATTTTCTCTAGGTGAAAAAAGACGTTGGTGATGTGACCATCCTCATCAACAATGCCGGAGTGGTAACCGGGAAATATTTTCTTGATATTCCTGACCACATGGTCGAGAAGTCATTTGCCGTCAACGCCTTGTCTCATTTCTGGGTATGTTTTCTTTCATTATCATGGTCTTTTGTTGCTGAACATGCAAGTTTCATGTACTTCCCTCAAGCAGCTCTTTAATTTGTAAATATGTTGTTTGTGTCTGTGTACTCCCATCCCGGACAGCTGACATCTAGTCCCATGCTCATTTTGTTCTCCTTTCTCTTGCTCTATTCCAAATTCTCAGGGTAGGTGCCTCTCCTCCGTTCTCTCCAATTTGATCCCAAGACTTTGTAAGCTCTTCAGAAATCTTCCTACCCAAACCCAAACAGAATGTGATAGTCATTCTATAAGGGAAAGTCAAGGGTCCATCTGGGGAACAGGGGTTTGTAGAGAGGAGCTGTCTACTGATAGAGTCTAAGGTGGGGTGGTCCTGTGACTAGGCTTCTGAAAGAAGAGAGCAATGGCAGGTAGAATAATAATACCGGGATTTATGGAACTATTCTAAGGGTCTTCCTGCTGTGGTGCCATTCTCATTCTCCTTTTACAAATAAGCAGATGGACTCAAAGACTCAAATATTTTATAGACTTACCCACGCTCCTACCACTGTTAAGGCTTGCTTAAGCCCATGGAAGAAAGAATTGAGAGGGAGAAGAACTCTAAAGAATAGTTTGTACATTGAAATCCAGTAGTCTTTCCCTCGATACCTGGAGAGTCAGAAACAGCACTGTCTGGTAGGACTCTCTGTGGCACTGGGAATGTTTCTTAGCGTGTTTCAGTGAGATATGGTAATCACCAGTCATTGATGACTGTGGCTATTTGAGCAATAAAATGCAGTTTCCAGAACAGAGAACTATATTCTTTTAAGTTTTGTCTTTTCATTATGAATATTTTCAAACATAACAGTAAAATAAGAGATGACTATATAATAATACTCATTTGTCCGCTACTTCACTTAATCACTTAATCACTTAACTTCCTGTTAGTCGTCGATTTGCTCGAGCAGGCGCCAGTAACGTCTCCATTTGTCCCTGTCGCGTGCTAGTGTAGCCCAATGGCATCTGTTCGCTCCGGGAACATGAAGGGCCTCAAACCGATCATTCATGATCTTGACGAAGAAGTCTGACCATCTGGAAGGTGGGCGGCCACGCGGTCTTTTGACATCCCGTGGAATCCAGTCAGTAACAGCTCTAGTCCAGCGGTCGTCTTTAAATCTCATTACGTGACCAGCCCATCTGATTTTCGACACCTTGGCAAATGAGACAGCATCCCTGATTCTTGATCGTCGACAGATGTCAGAACTCCGGATTCTTTCTCTCATTTGAGTGAAACGTGATATTCTAAGCATAGCTCTTTCTATTCTTCTTTGGGAGACCTGAATGGCGTTCTCATCTTGTTTGCGTAGGGCCCAGGTCTCTGAGGCATATGTTAATGCAGGAAGAACAGTGGAATCAAAGAGATGTGCCTGGAGCCGGAGGTTCTTCGTCCTCTTAGCTATTTCTTCGACGTTCTTGAAGGCGTTCCAAGCCGCTCTCTTCCTCCTGCGCAGCTCGGGTGCCAGGTCATTTGTCATGTTGACCTCTCGACCTAGGTACACATAGCTGTTGCATTCGGAGATGGTCGTTCCATTGAGAGCAAATGGGGCATCAGGAACAAGGCTGTTTCTCATAAACATTGTCTTCGTAAGATTCAGCTGTAGTCCTACCTTTCCACACTCACGGTCAAAGTCGGCCAGCATTTGTGCCGCTTGGCTGATGTTTGGTGTTATTAAAACAATGTCATCAGCAAAGCGGAGGTGGTGTAGTTGCCGACCATCTATCTTCACTCCCATGTTTTCCCATTCCAGTCGTCGCATGATGTTCTCGAGGGTGGCACTGAAGAGTTTTGGTGAAATGGTATCACCCTGTCGCACCCCTCTTTTGACATCAACGATCACTTCTTTGTAGAATGGTGAGATCCTGGTAGTGAATCCGCAATACAGTTCACGGAGGATCCTGATGTATTGGGCTTGAATGCCCTGATTGGCTAGGGCTTCAATGACCGCTTCTGTCTCAACAGAGTCAAAGGCCTTCTTTAAATCAATCAATGTTAAACAGAGCAGCATCTTGAACTCCCGAGAAACCTCAATGAGCTTGGTTATCGTGTGGATATGGTCGATGGTGCTGAATCCTTTGCAGAACCCGGCTTGCTCGCATGGTTGTCCTTCATCTAGTGTTCTGCCAATCCTATTTAGGATGACTCGACTGATCAACTTGTAGATGACAGACAATAGGCAGATCGGGCGATAGTTGCCAATGTCATGGATGTCTCCCTTCTTGAACAGTAGTACGGTCCTGCTGGTTTTCCATTGGGACGGAACCTTGCATTCAGACAGGTAGCGAGTGAAGAGCCGAGCCAGTGTATTGATGAGTACTGACGGCAGGTTCTTCAGGTGTTCAGGTCTGACCTTGTCTGGGCCGGGTGCTGTTTGTTTCTTTACCAACGAAATGGCGTGTCGGATTTCGGAAGGGAGAACGTTGGGAACGACATATCCATCCTGTGGAATTTGGTATGTCGGCAAATGGACATGGCTATCGAAGAGATTTGAGTAGAAGTCATGGATAATCTTCTCCATTGCTGTTCTGGAGGATGTGATGGATCCATCAGGACGTCGGAGGGCAGTCATCTTGGTCTTATAGTTGGCGAAGGACAGGCGGGCGTTACGAATACTTTTCCCGGCTTCTGCCGCATCTACCAGTACTTCTGCTCTTCTCTCTTTGAGGTCTTCCTTGATCGCATCTCTGCACTGCTTTGCGAGCTCGGACGTTAGCTTGCAGTTGCCTGAGGTATGCGCCAAACCACGCTGGCGAATTAGCTCAAGAGTTTTCGAAGATAGACGATTTTTTGTGGCTATCTCTCTCTTGGCGTTCCTCGCACATTCATGGAGGTGCTGAACCAGTCGATCGTATTCCTCGTCAATGTTGTCAACAATGACATCTTCCATGTTGCCGCAATAGTACCAAAGAGTTCCCAGTTGGTGGTCATTCTGGGAGTTCTCTTTTTGAACTTTGCAGCCCTTTCTCCCCGCTCTGTGAAGTAGAATTTTGCACGAAGGAGACGGTGGTCCGATCCCGTTCGAAATTTTGGGACAACAGCGACATCAGTCAGGCAAAACCGTCGATTGAATATGATGTGGTCTATTTCGTTGTGGAATCGTCCACCGGGAGACTCCCATGTCCATCGTTTAGATTCTGCCTTCTGGAACTGTGAGTTACCGTGAATGGTCTTGGTCGACATGATGAACTCAGACAGTCTCTCACCCTGTTTGTTCCATTCTAGGCCATGGGTCCCGATGTGAAGTTCTTCAGCTGATCTTCTCGGTCCTATCTTGGCATTAAAATAACCCACAATGATCTTGTAGAAGGTGTGGTCTTCTTTATAGAACTTCTCTAGCTCCATGTAGAACTTCTCAATTTCTCTTTCATCATAATGAGATGTTGGTGCGTAGACAACGAAGAAAGAAACTGCAGGCAGTGAGCCACATCTATTCAAATGTAAACGTCCGATTCGGGTTGTTAGGCATTCGAATGAATCAATGCTTTTGGCCAAGTTTGTGTTGACAAGAACACCGACGCCTCCAACACCTCTTTTATCGCATGTTCTGAGGAACAATTCTTCTCCAGTGTCGAAAATGGCATGGTGAGATTCATGCCTTCTTGTCTCGGTCAGACCAATGATGTCGTACTTGATCATTCGCGCTTGTACCATCAGGTCCTCGATGGATGCATCTGATGCTAGCGTACGTGCATTGAAAGTACAGACGATCATTTTTGTCTTCCTTCATTGTGGCAGCCTACGTCGGCCTTGAGATTTTGTCGGCCTCTCCTTTCTCATCCTTCTCAGTGCTGCCATGTCGGTGAAGCCTTCAGGGTCAGGTGAATGAGACCAGTTTTCGTTACTGGTTTTTGCATATCGAATACACAGCAGATAGCTTGCCAGGCTCTTCCGTGCGGGCGGAGTACTCTCGGTAGCTTGCCAGTCTTTCCGAGAGGGATAGAGGCTTTTGGGGCGACCTCTAATCACCCTTGTAGGTGTTACCATATTTGAACCCTATCAAATATGGTACGAGAATTCCAGAAGATGGGTATTTAGTGTCTTATGATGTGTCCGGAAAGCGTCCTGGAGTGTGGCGACGGCTGGGTAGTGGAAGTAGTGTCCGCTACTTAGCCTAATAATTTTAACTGCCATGTTTGTTTTATTTATTTTGCCTCTAGGAGGGACTTTTTTTTTGTTTTTTTCCTTTTTGTTGACTATTTTCTCACTTTGTTTAAACGCTGTGGTTTACAAAGTTGTGCATGATGGTTTGTGACAGGCATTCAATATTCCAACAGCAGCTCCTCCTCCACCGTCATCTTCCCTCCACCCCCCCCCCCCATAGCAGGTCCACAATAACTTATCTTATATTGTTCACTCCTACTAAATGACTAATAGAATAATTTTATTTATTTATTTAATTTTATTTTTATATTTATTTATTGAATCACTGTGGGAAAAGTTATTAAGCTTTCAGGTTTAAGTCTCGGTCATACAATGATCCAACACCTTTCCCTTCACCAGTACTCATTTTTCACCACCAAGAATCCCAGTATACTCCCCCCCCCACCCTTCCAAATGCCTGTGAGGCAGATGATTTCTACTTAACTCTTCTCTACATTGATTACGTTCATTATTTCGACAAAAGATGCACCATTATTGTTTAGAATTTCCCCCCAAACAATCAGAATTGCTGAAAAGGCATTGTGAAATACTTTGTTTTCTATAGCTGGTTATGAGAATCATATAATATCATGCGGCCATGATTTTGGATTTCTGCAAAGAGACAGATAATTACAAGATTGGTTTCTGTGTGTCTGGTGTTATGGTCGTGCTGGAGAGCTGCTTGTGGGGGGTAACTTGTGACCTCGGTAGGGCGTGAAGGACGTGCCGGTACCGCCCCCCCCTTCCCATGAGACTGCAGTTGCCCCGTCACCGCAGGCTCATACCTGGCTTTCCAATAAGCTCTGAGGTTGTGGCCACCTTCTAT